GGCTCATGGGAGCATACTCGATCCACTGCTGAGATTAGTGTTCAGTCTAGTAAGGTCTGAATTGACCCCAAGTTGTAAAAAGAGACTGTAATGCTATTATTAGGATGCTTACAATCAGATTTCTGTCACAAGTACTTAAGTTGTAGATTTTGGGGGGCTGGAGATGAAGAAAAGGAGGGTGAGAGAAAGAATGGCTTTCAAAGACAAATAAAGCAAGCTTTCAAAGTCTTTGCAGATATACAAAACTTTGCAATCAACATATTATTACTAGAAATAATTCACTGAAGCAAGATTCGGATACAGAAGTTCATTCATCAGTCTGTAAAGGACCAAATCACTCCCCTTCTTGAAATCTATACTTTGAAAAAAAATTTAATTCAGTATAGTCCATAGGTTAAAAATGTTTTAAATCAAAATTTATATCCAAGGAAAAAAGTGCTTTGTTTACCCAGAAATCTATAATTTGTAAAGTCACACCTAATCCCTATGCTCTGACACACCCAAATGCCTATTATTAATTACTTGGTTTTCCTCAGTAAGAATTAACATGCTTCTCTCTGTTAGAAAAGTTTGAGAAAGGGAAATTGAATTGCTCTATGTTATAATTGTGTTTTGTTTTGCTTCGTTATTTGAGACAGGGTCTCCCTCTTTTGTCCAGGCTGAAGTGCCATGGCAGGATCATGGCTCACTGCAACCTCGACCTCTCGGGGCTCAAGAGATCCTTCCACTTCAGCCTCTTGAATAATGGGGACTGCAGGTGTGTGCTATGACACTTGGCTAATTTTTGTATTTTTTGTAGAGACGGGGTTTTGCCGTGTCGCCCAGGCTGGTCTTGAACTCCCGGGCTCAAGTAATCTGCCTGCCTTGACCTCCCAAAGTGCTGAGATTACAGGCATGAGTCACTGAGCCCAATCCACTGATATATATGTGTGTATGTATATATATATAAATTTGAGGGTGCCCAGATTCACATTGTTTCTGGGGTCATCTGTGAGGGTGTTTCCAGAAGAGATTAACATTTGAATTGGACCCAATAAAGTAGATTGCTATTCTCAGTGCAGTTGGGCATCACCCAATCTGTTGAAGGCTTGAATAGAACAAAATAGAGGAAGGATGATTTACCTCCCTTTTCCCCTGCCTCGCTGCTTGAGTTGGACATCTCCTCTCATCTTCTCTTGCCCTCAAACTGGATTTACATGATCAGTTCCTCTGGTTCTCAGGCCTTTGAACTCAGACTGAATTACACTTTCCTGAGTTTCTAGCTTGCAGATGGCAGATTGTGGAACTTCTCAGCCGTCATGATCTTGTGAGCCAATTCCTTACAATACATACATACATACATACATACATATACATACATATAAAATAAATCATTTGTCTTGTGTCTCTCAAGAACCCTGACTAATAGGGTACTGAATCTTTTCAATCTTATCTCCTATGACTTTAATTCATGTACCTCATGCTACACGCAAATTGAGCTGCTTGTTATTTTTAAACATGTCATTGAATTAGGAATTATTTCAGACATTCAGAAATGTGCTTCCATGTGTTCATTCAGCATTTATTGTTATTTAAAATATTTATTTGTTTATATATATTTATTTATTTATAGATTTAGGGGGTACAAGTACAGATTTGCTACACTGATAGATTGCGTAGTGGTGAAATCTGGGTTCTTAGTGTAACCATCACCCGAGTAGTGTTTACTGTACCTGTTAGGTAATTTCTCAACCCTCCACCCCCTTCCACCCTCCATCTTTCTGAGTCTCTAGTGTCTATTATTCCACTCTCTATGTCCATGTATACACATTATTTAGCTCCCATTTATAAGTGAGAAAATGTGATATTTGACTTTCTGGGTTATTTCACTTGAGATAATGGCCGCTAGTTCTATCTATGTTGCAGCAAAAGGCATGATTTCATTCTTTTTAATGGCTGAATAGTATTCTATGGTGTATATATGTGTATACACACATACACACCCCCCCCATCATCCGTTGATAGACACTTACATTAATTCCATATATTTGCTACTGTGAATAATAGTATTGTGATAAATACATGCATTCAGGTGTATTTTTTATACCTTTGGGTAGGTACTCAGTAATGGGATTGCTGGGTCAAATGGTAGCTCTGTTTTTAGTTCTCTGGGAAATCTCCATACTGCTTTCCACAGAGGCTATACTAACTGACATTCCCAGGAACAGTGTATAAACATATGCTGGAAGAGGCTATTCTCTTATCTGCCTTATGGCTGCATCCCATCAAAGAGAAAACAACTGCCTTCCACCTGCTCCACGAAATCTCATTATATCAGAGAAGATGACTGAGGAATTCAAGCACGACTGGATGGACTTTTTCAAAAGATGACACCTGCTTCTTGGGCTCATTCAAATTTCAAGAGAACCATTTACAAGTTAATTTCTATCCCTCAGGTCCACTCATTCTTCCTAACAATCATTCATGACTCCAAAAAAATTCCCCATCTTCTACATTCCCCATCTTCTCTTCCCCTATGAAGAATGGTATATAATCACCTGTACCCCATTGGTATTTGGGAAATCACTCTCCTGTGATTTTTCCTCATGCATGTTAAAATAAATGTATATGACTTTTTCTCTTATTAATCTGCCTTTGTCAGTTTATTTTCAGCTGAACTCCAGAGAGTGAAGGAAGAAGCTTTTTTTCTTCATTCCTACATAACCCAGGCATTGATCCAGGCAATGAAGATTCAGTGTAAACAACCACCACTAACAAGACCATGGCCTTTGGAACCTGTGCTAAGAGGCATGGATGAGCTCCCTCAGCATGTGGATGGAGACTGAAGACAGGTCTGAAGGTTCAGTGTAGGTGTCTCCATTCTCTAAGAAGTTTGGAGGAGAAGCTGGATACAGCAAAACAGATTGAGAAGGAGCAGCTGTTGGGAAAGGAGGAAAACTAGGAAAGCATGGTGTTCCAGAGTCCCTGATGGAGCTATTGATTAGTAGTATCAGATTCTGCTCAGCAGTTGAGGAGTTCACCTTTGGCTTAAGCAACACGGAGTCACTGACTATCTCGTGAAGGTAGTTGCAGGGGAAGGTCTGGAGAACTAAATGCAGCAGTGATAAGAGAGAATGGGAGGTGGTATGATAGGACTCCTGGACACCCCAGGCATCAATCAAAACACCACAGACAAGAAGGTGTGGATACAAAAACTAGCAGTTAGAAGAAATAATAGAAAATGAACTCCAACTACTTCTGAAAAAAAAGTAATGAGGGCAATTAATACACCGAATAAAGCCTCAATAAGTACAACAGTGTAGTACTGACTTATATATAGAAAAAATGTGATCAGTGGATCCAAATTCTCAGAATTAGATATAAGTGCATATGAGAATTTTGTATATGATAAAGGTTGTATGTTAACGTAGTAAGTAAAAGATGGACTATTCAACAAATGGGATTGGTACAACTGGGTGACCATCTAAAACAACATAATGTTGAAAACATACTGTATATACTATGGTAGGACAAATTCCAAATATGCTAAATATTTATCAACAAATAAGGAAAATAATAATAATAATAATATTAACATTATCTGGTGAATCTTTTATAACTCAGGGTAAGCTGCAACAATATGGATGGAACTGGAGGTCATTATGCTAAGTGAAATCATTCAGAAACAGAAAGACAAACATCACATGTTCTCATTTATTTGTGGGATCTAAAAATCAAAACAATTGAATTCATGGAGATAGAGAATAGAAGGATGGTTACCAGAGGCTGGGAAGGGTAGTGGGGAAGGGGAAGTGAGGGGAGGTGAGGATGGTTAATGGGTACAAAAAAATACTTAGTATGAATAAGACCTAGTATTTGATAGCACAACAGGGGGACTATAGTCAGTAATTTAGTTGTCCATTGTAAAATAACCAAAGGAGTATAATTGGATTCTTTGTAACATAAAGGATAAATGCTTGAGGGGATGGATACCCAATTTTCCATGATGTGTAATCCCAGCACTTTGGGAGGCTGAGGTGGGCAGATCACTTGAGGTAAGTGGGTTGAGACTAGCCTGGCCAACATGGCGAAACCCCGTCTCTTTTAAAAATAGAAAAGTTAGGTGGGTGTGGTGGCGTGTGCCTATAATCTTAGCTACTCAGGAGGCTGAGGCAGGGGAAATCGCTTGAACCCCGGAGGTGGAGGTTGCAGTGAGCTGAGACCACACCACCGCACTCCAGCCTGGGAGACAGAGTGAGACTCTGTCTCAAACAAACAAACAAATAATTTATAAAATCTGATACTTTTTCACCATGGAGTTTCTTATGTAGGAATTTATCTTAGAGATATATTTGTACATGTGCAAGAGACATATGTCCAAGGTTAATAAATTCATCATTATTTGCAATATCAAAAGGTTAATAGCTGTCAAACAGCCATTTATATTGTATAAATTATGGTCCATCTATACAATGAAATACTGTGTAGCTGTAAAAAAAAAAAAAAAAAAAGCAAGCCTGATATGGAAAGACTTCCAATAAATAGTAAGCTTAAATGAAAGTACAGAATAATACATATTTGTATGAAAAAAGAGATTTTATGCCTCGAAGACCTTCACCCTTGATCTTCTGGTGTTATTCATGTCCTTGTATTCTCCCAGAATCATTACCTCCTTCCACTGGTACAGTCAAGTCTTGCTTGTTCTGTCCTTACATTCTTTAGAGAGAACTCACAAGAGACAAGCAAACATCTCCTTTGCTAATAATGTTGATCACTTCCTACAACGTAATATCTATGTGCAATTTTTTGGGAAGACCTCCTACCAAACAGGTAAGAATAGAAAGACACAAAGAGAAGAAAGTGGAGAAAGACCTCTGTCTTCCCACACTGGATTTTGTGAATACTCTTCTGTGACACAGGAAACTAAAAAGAGGGAAAAGTGGCAATTAAGAAAAACTGCCAGAAAATAAATACCTTGATGACCCAATTTGGAAAACTGCTTCTGGATAAGGAAATACTATTACCCAATATGCTAATTTTTAAAATACCCAAAGAATTGAGCAAAAAGGACTTTGGCAAGGTGGGTTGTTGGATTTAAAACCGTTCTCCCATTAATGCCAAAGCCAGCAGAGATACCAACTATAGCTCCATGGTCAGAAGGTACCAGCAGCTTTGCTTTTACTGAAATTTCAACTGGAGAAAGGTCCACAGGTGAGGTTTCTTCCAAGGAGTAATTTCTCTTATTTGACTCTTTTGAGATCCTTTTCTCACATAATTGGCAAATTTCAATTGGAGAGAAACTGTATTTTCTACCTCATTATAAGGTCAGTGCTGAGGAGAGTAGGAACTCAGGAAATGCTTCTTGATTGACTTTAGTCTGCTTTATCGGGTGACAAATTGACCACAGACCAAATAACACGTTGGATTTCTCTTATTCTTTCTAGGGATCTGGGCTGAGAATTAAGGGTTTATACTTCTTCTTAAAACCCATTTCAATCTTTCATGCAGTTGTGATTCTAATACAAACAAATGGAAACAGGGAATTAGTCTTTCAAATTCAGTCCTTTGGCTGACGCAGTGGCTCATGCCTGTAATCCTTTGGGAGGCTGAGGTGGGAAGATTGTTTGAGGCCAGGAGTTCGAGACTAGCCTGGGCCAAACATAGTGAGACCTTGTCTCTACCAAAAAAAAAAAAAAATTAGCTGAGTGTGATGGTGCACGTTTGTAGTCCTTGCTACTCAGGAGGCTGAGGCGGGAGGATCACTTGAGCCCAGAAGGTCGGGGCTGCAGTGAGCCTTAATCGTATCAGTGCACTTTAGCCTGGGCAACAGAAAAAAAAAAAAGAAAGAAAGAAAGGGAAGAAAGAAAGAAAGAAAGAAAGGGAAGAAGGAAAGAAAGAAAGAAAGAAAGAAAGAAAGAAAGAAAGAAAG